CAGGGAGTGATGGGGTGAGTGCTCCCTCCTGCAAGCCCAGCTGTGCCCAGTCTGGGACAGGATGCCCACACTGAGCTCAGAGGGACTGGAACAAGGGGCATCTTGCTATTTGGGGATCAGCTGGAGGCCAAGCAGGGAGCAACAGCTGGACAGGGTAGGGGGCCCTTTGTGCCCTGAGGACAGCAGGGTTGACTCGATCTTCCCACAGCGGTGGAGACCACAGCCCACAGCTGAAAAGATGGGGGTGGGGGGTCCTTGTGGGGCACCGGCTGGTCGGAGTCACAGGTGGGCATCTCAAAAAAATGGCCCAGGAACTCCCTCAGGGCACACGGAGGACGGAGCCCACCAACCCCATCATTGCCACCTGTGGGGAGAATTACAGTCACTATGCACTTGAGTACCAGAAGATTCCCTCCAGAGGTGACATCACAGGTGATTTGGCCTTTCTTACCGATACTTTGTAAATGTTCTATAATTAACACCTTGTCATAACGGGGGGGGGGAGAGAGTGTTTTAATTTTTAAAATCAGCCAAGGGTGGCCAGCCGGTATTGGTGAGCCTGCCCCTTCTCCTCCAGAGCCCTTCCAGGCAGAGCCGCCACCCAGACCCCATTCCTGGTACCACCTCAGGAAAGTAACATCGAGGTGCAGCTTCTGGGGAAGGATGTGGGCGAGTAAGGATCTCGTCCCTGGTCCAGCCGGCTGTGGCCCAGCTGTGACTGCCTAGGTGTCTGCCCAAGGTCCAGCCCTGGACAGAACCGGACTATGAGGCCCTTCAGGGTCTCCCGTCCAGGACCCGTGGCCGCTGATGGGGCCCCCAAACACCTGCGGTCATCCTGCCCTCAGAAGCTGCCACATCTGAAGGGCTCACCGGAGGACTGTGGAGCAGGAGGAGGAGTTCTGCGCACTGCGGCCAAACAGACGTGTGAGGCATCGTCCTGCAGCTCACACACACATTCCCTAAAGCAGCCACAAAGATACCCCCAAATTTAGTAAGAAATGTGAACTGCTTATACAAATGATGTCATAATCTGAAGAAAATAAAAAGAGCATTCAGATAAATAGAAAAGCGTATGGTCGGGGCGCCTGGGTGGCTCAGATGGTTAAGCGTCTGCCTTCGGCTCAGGTCATGATTCCAGGGTCCTGGGATCGAGCCCCGCATCGGGCTCCTGGCTCAGCGGGGAGCCTGCTTCTCCTTCTCCCTCTGCCTCTCTCCCTGCTCATGCTCTCTCTCTCTCTGTATCTCTGTGTCTCAAATGAATAAATAAAATCTTTAAAAAAAAAAAAAGAAAAGCGTATGGTCTTGGTCTTGTCTAGGAAGGATCAATATTAAAAACAGGATTCTTCCAGGGGCGCCTGGGTGGCTTAGTCGGTGAAGCGTCTGCCTTCAGCTGGGGTCATGATCACGGGGTCCTGGGATCGAGCCCCTTGTAGGGCTCCCTGCTCAGCGGGGAGTCTGCTTCTCTCTCTCCTTCTGCTCCTCCCCCTGCTTGTGCTCTCTCTCTCTCAAATAAGTAAAATCTTTTTTAAAAATGTGAGTCTTTCTAAAGTGAAACTATAAAAACAAAATCCCATGGTGGCTCAGGACAAAAATAAACAGATGTTTGAGGAAAGAGATTTCAGAAGGAAAACAACATGCTGAGCTGTGGATTCCTCCAAAAGCAGAAACAGTACGTCAGTCAAGAATTTACAGTTAGTCTTACATTTTAAAACTTTAAAATTTTCTAAAACAGATAAATTATAATTAGATTAAGTTAGACAAAAGAGAACAAGACAACAACAAAGAACCAAGCAACAATCTTGGATGAGAAAAAGAAGGGGAGAGCAGCCCAGGTGTGCTGAGGGGTGAGGCAGCCATTGATGAAAGTGAGATATTGGGGCGCATGACTGGCTGAGTCAGTTAGGCGTCTGCCTTCGGCTCAGGTCATGATCTCAGGTCCTGGGTGATCTCAGGTCCTGGGATCGAGTCCTGCATCAGGCTCCCTAGTCATGGGGAGCCTGCTTCTCCCTCTCCCTCTGCTGCTCCCCCTGCTTGTGTTCTCTCTCTGTACAATAAGTAAATAAAACCTTTAAAAAAAAAAGTGAGATATTGTCCACTTACCAGAGATGCACCTAACGCCTGTGGACACACAGCAGCTGAAAGGAAAAGTCTGGAAAAGGATCAAGAATATTTTAACCAAAGGGAGTTGGTGTTGCTGTACCGATATCAGACAAAATAGACTCTGAAATAAATTGGATGATCGAAGTGCAGAGGGTCACTAATGATAAAGTCTCAACTTACCAAGAAGATACATCAATTTAGAATCTGAAGAAATCTAATAAAATCACTTCCAAATATACGATCAAGGATTGCTAGAACTGCAAGGTAATCGACAAGCCCCCATCATAGTGAGGGATTCCAACCTACTCCTCTCAATTATCGACAGCTCAAGCCGATCAAGATCGGCAAGTACAGAAGAGAGCACACTTCCCCCCTGACCACCTTGGCATGAGGGGCACCGTCAGGGAACACACATATATCTCAGGACACCGGAGGCATTCACAAGAGTGGATCAATTCAGAGATGGGGGACCCAGACGATGAATGAAGTTAGAATGGGGTCACCAGCTGGTAACAAAAAGATGACCAATACAGCCTTGGGGAGTATAAGAACATGGTGCTGACCAGTGTTTTCAGCTCAATAGGAAATCACAACTGAAACCACAAATTCCAGGAACCCAAAGAAAGAAAATGAAAGCCCACACATCATGTGATGCAGCAGAAGCTGTGATCTGAGGAAACGGAGGGCATAGGAAATCCTACAGAGAGGGAGGAAGGGGGAAATGAAGGAGCTGAGCGCCTGTCCGCAGACTGGATCCCAGGATTATATGAAAATGGAAAGGATACAGGGGCGCCTGCGTGGCTCAGTCCCTTGAGCATCGGACTCTTGATCTCAGCTCAGGTCGTGATCTCAGGGTCATGAGTTCAAGCCCCACATTGGGCTCCGCACTGGGCATGGAGCCTGTTTAAAAAATAAATAAAAAGATTGGGAAAAAAAAATGGGAAGGATACACACATGGGATATGTGTGAGTGTTTGTACCCACAGAACATTTCTAGAAAGTTAGGAGGACGTGTCCACGGCATCGCCTCTGGAGAACGAAGCAGGGGTCACCATGAGACACACCAGCTCCTTTCATTGTTCCTTCCTGGAACATTTGAGTGGTTTTGTAAGGTTTCTGTACTACTTCCAAAATAAACAAACTTGGGGCGCCTGGGTGGCTCAGTCGTTAAGCGTCTGCCTTCGGCTCAGGTCATGATCCCGGCGTCCTGGGATCGAGCCCCGCATCGGGCTCCCTGCTCTGCCGGAAGCCTGCTTCTCCCTCTCCCACTCCCCCTGCTTGTGTTCCCTCTCTCGCTGTGGTTCTCTGTCAAATAAATAAATAAAATCTTAAAAAAAAAAAGAAACAAACAAACTTGTTTCACTTTCAAGATACCTAAGTGCTTTACCTGGGTACACATTTACATCAAACTCCCCAGGGCATCTGGTTGCATGGGGACAAAAGAGTCTCAGCCCTCAGCTGACGCTCAAGGTCCCTCACCGTGTGGGACCCTCCTACCCTCCCTCCTGAACAGCCCCATGCCTCAGGGACTTGGCGGTCACCAGCCGCTGCCCAGGAGCCCCTGCTGAGTTGAGGGACCCTGGGCAATGCTGGCTGTGATGGGAAAGAAAGGCCGACTTGGGAGGTGGCCTCAGGGATGAGCCCCTCCTTCAGGCCCAGGGTCAGTGCCTGGGAGGCTGGGGGGGCAGGCACAGAGGCCTAGGGCAGGTGGCATTTAGGTCCCAGGCTGGGTGATCATTTGTGGGTCCTCCCTCAAGAGCTTCGTTGGCCTCTGGGTGGGGGCAGGGGCTTCTGGCCTCCATACCCCTCCATGGAGGTGCCATCTTCCTGTGAGGATGACCAGCTCTGAGCTTTCCCTGCCCACCAGACAAAGGTTACTCCTTTGGAACATCTCCCTGCCCCGGGTGTAAGCTCACAGGACTGTCTGCAGGCCAGATCCACACACCAGCCCCTCAGTGAGGAGGAAGCTGAAGCTTGCAGAGTTTAAGCAGGTTGGTCAGTGGGGAGTGGCAATGAGTGGAGGAAGGGCGGGTGACCACCTCTGGGTCTGTATTAACTGAAGCTGGGCCCAGGCTGGCTAGCCTTGGAAAGCTGGGCCAGGGTCCAGGACAGCACACAGAACACCTGGACACCAGCAAAGCTTCCACACCGGCCTCCTTCAAAGACTTAAGGAGAAACTTTTACCTTAGTGATTTTTATAATAACCACCAAAACCATGTGTATGTGAGAAACGAACAAATCCCCACTTCCAAACTTCTCTTTGGGACTGACCTCACACAGGTGCACCCCCGGGACACCTGACCTCGTCCAGGATGTGTCTCCCCACCCGCCGCAGGACCCCAGTGGGGAGGAGTTGGGAGGAGGGCCTCGTTCTGTCCAGGGGCTAATCAAAAGCAGTTTGACCTTTTAACTGTGTGCCCCCCGCTCCTACTCACTCCTGCCTGCAGCCCCCCCGCTCCCCCCCACTATCTCCAGGTGTAGTCTGGACCCCACTTGCATCTGAGACAACTCTCAGCCTTCACACGCTCCTGTGCATTCTCAGCGGGCACAGCTGGCCCTGCGTGCGCGTGCGTGCGGTGCGCACAGGCGAGGACCCGCGGGCTCCCCTGGTCCATGCAGGGAAGCGACCCCACCCACCCCAAAGGAGCATCTGGTCAGCTTTCCTGGAAAAACGCCCCCTGCTGTTTTGTTGTTTTCCTGTTTTCTTTATGAAGCGCTTTTAAATAAAGATATAATAAAGAACTACCAAGAAACTCATAAACCTTTTCTGTGAATTCAGGGCAGTTCCCAAGACTCGAGTGACTTCCCCGAACTCGGGTTTCCTTCCTGTATCTAGGACCTGGGTGCGGATCCCGGATCCTCCTCCCCGCAGCCTCCTCCCCTGGCTCCGCCCTCACGGAGGAGTCGCCCTCCGCCGGCTCTGCTCTCGGCCCCCAGCGCGCAAAGACCAGCGGCAGCCGCCAGTGGCCAGGAGCAGCGGCGCGCGCGGGGAGCCGGGGCGCAGGTGAGGGCGCGCGCGCAGGGAGCGGGGGCGCAGGAAAGGGAAGCACGCGGCGGGGGCGTCCCGCGGTCGGAGGGCTCCGGGTACTGGGGATGGAGACCCCGGAGCGCTGCGCTGACCCTCCCCCGCAGACGTGCGGCCCCGAGTGCCCCGCAAGGGTCCGTGGGCCAGGGAGCAGGGGGCAAAGGGTGCGCGCCGTGGGGGGGAGGAGAAGGGACGGAGGCCGCGGATCGCACCGGGGACCTGCCCCTCCGCTGGGGACACACAGGCTGGGCTCTTGAGAGGGCAGGGAGGTCGCATCCCGGGCTCCCGCAGACCCACACTTACGCGCGTGTGCACTCACATTCGCGGACTCACACAGCCGTGATGCACACACACTCACACACACCGGTAAAACAGAAATGAGCCGCCTGAGGCTTCCCCGACCCGTGAAGGGGTCCTGTGCCCGGAAAGCCCGGAGAGGAGCCAGTTTCCCCAGAGTGAATTTTTTAGCGGCCCCTTTCCATGCTCCCCTTCACATTTGGTTTGGCAGCAATCTCTAAATTCAATACATCTGCCACTGCTGGTTAATGATCTGCAGCATGGAAACCACTTGCCAGGCCTGTGGGTAGAGGAGTCAGAGCCCCTGGGAGGCCCTCCTGGCCCCGGGGTTGTGACAGTGAGGGTGGGCAGCAGATGTGCTTTTGGCCCCAGGGGCCAGGGGAGGGGGCTCTGGGGCTGGTAGTGGGGAAGAGGGTTCTCAGAGCAGGTGGCTTGTGAGCCCAGCGGGAGGCAGCCAGGCAGAGGGGAGATGGAAGTGTTTGCCCGCCCAGGCCCCAGGCCTGGACGACTTTCCTGCCCAGTTGGGGACCCCTCCCAGCCCCAGCAGCAGGGGGGGTTCGCTCCACCCCAGCTCGGGTTGGGGCTCCAGAGCCTTCGCAGACTGCAGCTGTCTCCCAGAGTGGTTGGTCACCTCCCGCACAACCAGCTCGGCCTCCTGCCCAGGATTTCCCTGTAAACCCTGAACCCTCTGCCGCAGGGGAGAAAGTGGCACCAGCCCCCCTCCGGGGCTGTGGGAGTGGAGGATCCCTACGCACCCCAGACCGCTCCCTCAGTTTTCCCTTTTCCCAAACCGGGACAAGTTCCCGGCAGCAACACGCACTTTCCAGATCGTGTCACTGACTCCCCAAGTGTGAGTAGCTCCAGAACCCAGGAGTCATCCTTGGTCGGGGACCCACAAACGCTGGCTGTATCGCTCCCATCCTGGTAGGCAGAAGCCGGTCCTGGGGTGATAATCGGAGAGAATCCCGCACTGTCGCATTCGTTTTGCCCTCCCGCTCGCGCCCCGCATTCGGCCCTCCTGCTCCATACCAAGCTTCTGTCTTCTTGCCTGTCCCTTTCCCCGTCATGTCCTGGTCTCCCTCCCTCTGGTTTTTCTCTCCTTTGCTGTGTTGGCGGCGAGTGAGAGGGTTCAGGCAGGGGGAGTGAAGCCACCACAATTAAAAACACATTTGACTTTGAAAAATGAATCGCTCTTCATACGTGTGGCCCCAGTATTGCATGGAACACATAGTGCATGTCTACTGGGAGTCGGCATTGTGCCTGGCAAGGCCAGGGAGGAGCCTGTTTCACCAGAGTGAATTTTCTCCTGGTAAATTCCCCGGAACAACCCAACATCTGGGCTTGGCTGCTCTTGAATCCAGTGCTGAACAACCGCAGGGGGTTGGGTCAGCCAGGGCCTGGGGGCAGATGGACACAGCCCCACTGGGCAGGAAGAGCTTGGCTCAGTACCCTCAGGGGCCTCCAGGACCTAGTCACTGAGGTCGGAGGCCCAGCTGACCTCCCCAGCAATGAGTTTTGCTGTCCAGGGGTCCAGCTCTCGTGCTGTGTAAGGGCTAATATCCAGAGATGGCCAGGACTGGGCTCTGTTCCTCACAGACAAATGAATGGGCAGAGCCAGCACACCAGGGGGTGTGTTAGGCCTCTGCTGCCTTTGGCTCTGTGCCCAGAGAGTGGCCAGCTGTGACTCATGGCTGAAAGTGCAAAGTCCCTGGAAGCACATCCAAACTGGACTCAGACGACCTCCCCACCTCCCAGTAAAAATGGGATTCCCCAGAGCTGGGAGCAGGAGTGCCGAGAGAGGTAGAACAGTGCCGTGAACAGTGAGGGGGAAGCCTGCCTGGCTCCCTGCCTTGCCCTCTGATCTCTGGACTATTCCAAGGGGAGCCAGCTGAGCCAGAGACTGTCCTCACAGATAAGCCTGGGGTTCAGCATTGGCATCCATGTCACTGGCCCAGCTGAGATCTATGCCCCGATCCAGAGGGAGGACCCCTAGTCAATGGTAAAAGCCAGGTGGAGCCTGGGACAGCTGTGGAAGCCCAGAAGGGCTCAGGGTGGCAGGTTGTGCAAGAGGATATTGGAAGCTTCCCAATCTCTAGTCCAGATCCCCATCTCTAGTCCAGATCCCTGTCTCTAGTCCAGATCTTCCATCTCTAACTCTAGTCCAGATCCTCCATCTCCAGTCCGGATCCTCCATCTCTAGTCTGGATCCCCCATCTCTAACTCTAGTCCAGATCCTCCATCTCCAGTCCAGATCCTCCATCTCTAGTCTGGATCCCCCA